GTAATATTAAGCACTAGTTTTGCCCTATTTATTGTAAAATAGACAAATCTAAATATTTGAAATCATTAATTCAAGGAAGAGTAAAACCTTATTTTTTCTTCCTCTCTCATTTTATCTTCCAGTGGGAAATTCCAAGGTATTTCTCTTTGCAATAACACTCTTCACGTGCCTAAAATAAAGCAGAAATCCATTCAGTTTCCCAGCCAGCTGGAAAGAACCACAGCTTTCCAAAAAGGGCTGAGCTGAGAAGTAGCCAAGAGAAAGGACTAAGCCAGGATGTACCTGGGGATTTTGCTCTGAAGTGCATCCCAGCATGACACATTTGGCAGCTCAAAGAGGCTCTTATCTCTGTCCTGGCTCCTGCTGCCTTCAAAGCATGTGATAACGGCCCAGGCGTCTGGCAAAGTAAATAACCAACTTTTCCACCTACACACAAACCTTGGGACAGAGGTGCTTCAAGAAGCCAACACTAGTGAATGGGAAAACACATTCCTCTTCCTGTAGATACCTTTGTCTCCATGGCTCTCTTCTTTTTGCGCCATGGTCCTGACGCATATAAACCAGAGCCCTTGGCTCAGTCCTTTCTCCAGGGGCTGGAAGAAGCAAGGTTCTCGATGCGCTGGGCAGACCTGCTCATCCTTCTCCCTGCAGCCTGGTACCAGCTAGCAGCTTTCCTCTTCGCTGCTCTCTTCCATTACCTCTGTGCTTTGGGGCACCTCTCTCTGATTTCCCGGTACGTGGTCTCCATACCAGGGGCAATTTGTGTCCATGGGTACTTTCTGGGTCTCTCCTGGCTTTCCTCTTTGTGCAGTAGGGCCAGTTCAGGGTGGTTAAAGCTACAATAGCCAGGCTAGGCTCTCCTGCATTGCAAGAGGTGGGTTTACCAGAATGAGCACACAGGCAAGAAGAGCAGGGCAGGGAATGGGGACTGTCTCCAGTGTGACGCAGACAGGGGCCAGGCAGGACCTGCTTTGCCCTTTCCCAGTGTGGCCCTGTGGAGGCTGCACGTCTCATACTACACTATACTACTAACATCAGAGCAGGAATTCCAAGCTACGTTTTCCCCAAAAGCTGTCCAAAGGGCATCTGGTCTCTTCTAGGTACATCTTCCTCCTTGCTGGAGGATGTCTCCTTGCAGGCACAGCCATGGGCAGTTACGCCACGCTGCTTCTCATCCCTGCTGTCGGCTCCATGCTCATGCTCCTCTTGGTCAGTCCAGCTTATGTCCATACCTGGGTCTTCTGCCTCCAGATGTGCTGGCAGACACTCTGCCACCTGGCCCTGGTGCTGGAGCCACAGGACACCAGGTAACCCTCCAGCATTGCTTCCCTCCCTCTCCCACCCTCCCAATTGCTTTGGGAGGAACTGCATGAAATGCTGCTTCATAGCAGTCGGTCCCCCCGGGCCTCCCTCAACCTGCAGCACTCTGGGCATGACAGGAGAAGGTGGGATATGCATGCTCATGCCCACCCTTTGAGAGTCTCTCAGCAGCGCTCAGGTGCCCTCTCCTTCCAGGCCAGCTGTCACCCTCTCTGCAATCATGCTGCTCACTCAGAAGGTGACATCTCTGGCCCTGGACATCCACGAAGGGACCGTGCTGCCCCAGCCTGGCCAGGGGCTGTTGCAGAGAGCCTTGCCCCTGTGTAGCTACCTGCTCTTCTTCCCAGCCCTCCTTGGAGGCCCACTGTGCTCCTTCAGCAAGTTTCAGGCCCAGGTCACGTCTCTGGGGGCCGTCCCCTGCCCGCTGCGGGCTGTGGGCTGGAGGTACCTCGGGGTGCTGGTGCTGCAGATGCTGCGTGCATGGCTGGAAGCCTGGCTGCCCTGCATGCAGGGCTGGGCCAGCATGGGCCACATGTGGGCACAGGCTTTGCTCTTCAGACTGGCATATTACTCGCAGTGGGTGCTGGATGAGGCCCTCCTGGAGGCAGCAGGCTTTGGGGCAGCGGTGGAGCAGGGAGACCTTTCTGGCCATGACCTTTGGACACTAGAGACCACGCATCGCCTGGCTGTCTTCTCCAGAACGTGGAACAAGAGTACATCCCTCTGGCTGAGGAGGCTGGTCTACCAGCGCTGCCCAGCTCAGCCACTCCTTGCCACTTTTGCCTTCTCTGCATGGTGGCACGGCCTTCGCCCTGGCCAAATCTTTGGTTTCCTATGCTGGGCCATCATGGTAGAAGCTGACTATCGAATCCATCCCTTCCTCAGCTCCCGGGCCACCTCCTGTGTTGCAAAGCTCCTCTACCGTGGCACAACCTGGGTCTTCACACAGCTCATCATTGCCTACATCCAGATGGCTGTGGAGACAGAGAACTTCTCCATGCTCTGTCTACTCTGGACTTCCTACAACAGTATCCTTCCCTTCACTTATTGCCTTGTGCTGCTGCTGCTGCTGTTTGCTCAGAAACCAAAGCAGAACTGAGCCTGTCCTGGGCTAACTCGACTGACTGGCTAGAGGATGTCCCTGCACATAGAATTGTAAGTGTGGGAAAGACCGCTAATATCACTCAGTCCAATTATCAACCCATCCCCACCATGCCCGCTAACCATGTCTTTCAGAGCTTTCACTTTTCTTGAAAACCTCTAGGGATGGTGACTGCAGCACCTCCCTGCGCAGCATGTGCCAATACCTCACCACCCTCTCTGAGAAGAAATTTTTCATGTGAGCACACAGAGATAAGAGCTTTTGTCAAGAAATCTCCAGAGGCTCAGCTTGTCTTTTACTCATGGGATATCCCCCAGTTTCAAGGGAAGCACTGAAGCAAGGCATGGATGTCACCAAACTGGGCAGAAGGGCTCTCAGCAGCACTGACTGCCCCGTGTTTGTCTTGGGGCTTTAGGTCTGAGCTTCATTTCATGTGGAAAGCATGTAGCCTTGCCATCGAATTCATCTGTACTGCAAATGTGCATTTGTCAGCAACAGTGTCTACCTCCTGGGAGCTTGTCTTCCACTGGGAGCACAGGTATGTGGAGGGAGCCACACCTTACCAGCTTTCTTGTACCCAAGAACTAGTGGGAACCCGGACACAGGAAAAGAAGCTGGCAGTCTATGTGGGGTCAGCACAGGACAAACAACATTCCTTTCCCTACCCCCAAGCAGCACAACTGGAAGGCATGGGCTTGCTGTGCTTCCCCAGCAGGTGTCCCTTCACACTTTCCCTGATATATTTTAGGCTGGAGAAAAACATGAGATATCAGAGGGAAAGATATTAGGAAAATGTAGATTTAGGAGATTTTGTTTATATGAAAGCATGAAACCAATCATTCAATGTCACCAGAATATAGCTGAAAATGTTACAAGACTGTTGTTGGCCTCTGATATACGGGAGATGCTGCTGCAGGGAACCAGGACCAATACCAGAAGCAGTCTCAAACACCCCAACTTAAGTGAAAGCATTACAATCAGGTTCAAATCCTACATCACGCAGACCTCACAGCAATACTCAGGGTGGATGTTTGTTACTAAAGTCAGCATGCAAAATGGATCCGACCTTGCTTTATGTGGGCTAGCTGGATGTTTGAGTCCTGAGCTGAGCCTTGCAAGCCACTTGCCACATATATTATCTATCTCTCTTCACCAGCACCACTGTTATAAGATCACATGCTGCAGACTGGGGCCAGAGTTTCCAGGGTAAAGCATGCAGGATGGTCCACAGGACAGTGGTTCCCAAGCAAGAAGGTTCACGCTGCCTGTATTGGAGGGAAGTGTATGGAAGTCAGGCGCAAGAAAGCCAATGCATAAAAAAATCCCCGACAGTCACAGTTGGAGTCATCTCACATTCTTTCAGCAGGCAGGGACGTGCAAGGCTTCCTCCCTAAGGGGGTTGGGGGAAATTCATTGCAAATGGGTGCCCAGCCAAGGAACCATCCCCTCCCATCAGCAGCAACCACAGCCAAATAGATTAAAAAATCCAGGTGAGAAGCCTGGAGAAGATTCACAGAAAGTGTACAATGTGTCAAAAATCCTGGCGAATTAAAATTCCCACAAGAGAGCAGGCTAGAGCTGGAAGTGAAGTGAGACTGAAGGAAAGTTTTCTCCTCATTTTCAGCTTGGATGACTATCTCCTCGTTTTCAGCTGAGCTGGGGGTAGCTCAGCTAGTCATGTCCTCCCTCAACAAAGCTGATACTGGGCTCTTTTCATAAGTCCCAAACCTACTCCTCAGCCAATGACTGCAGAACTGTAGCAGGGCAGCTCATTTCTGCTTCATTCTGGAGTGGAAGAGAGCCCCCAAATCTTCCTGAAAAATTAGCAGCAGCAAGGCATCTCCACAAAGCCAGGTGGCTGCCGTATGTCTTGATAGAGGGAAAGGAGCTGGAAGGGGTTGAGCAGCTTTGCTCTCTTCCATGGTGCCACATCTGTTGGAAGAACATTCACAGTGCATCCTGCCCTACACATTTGTTACACAAACACAGCAGCAATAAGGGCCTCTCATAGCAAAGGCTACTGTGGCCAGGCCAGCTAATCTCACAGTTAAGGGGTTAAATAAACGCTACACACAAGGGACAGGTAAGTTACCTGGTGATGGGAAGATGTTGGATGGATGGGGAAAGCAAAGTGGCCTGGCCATGACTTTCTTCCCTGAGGCCTTGGAGGTGAATTGGGGATTTTCCATTTCATTAAATTTACAAGGGGTAATTCCAGCATTCAGCATCATCTCTGTGAACAGCCCCATCCTAGCTCTCTCATCCTTGCACAAATGAGCAGCTACAAGGCTGCAGTTCAAGACAGGAAGGCAATGCTGTATTAGCACCTAGAGAAGGTAATAGGCCGGTGACAATGTGTTTCTCACAGCAGAAAATACGGCTTATACAGCCATAATTTTTGTTGTAAAATGGATGTCAAAACACACATGAATTTGAAAGACCCTTGTGGTTCTTCCTCACAAAGGAGAGTTATATGTACTGCTCTGGCTCCCAGGAAGAATAAGCCAGCCTGCCCACTCTGGTGATCAGAGTAGGGACAAAGGATCCTCCTACATGTGCAGAAATCAACTCAAGTACATTTTGTTCATGAGAAACATGCACACAAAGGCAGGAGTTTATTAGTCCACAGACTTACCATACAAAAAAAGTCCTCCTTTAGAGGAGTAGGCTCCCAGCTTTGCCTGCTCACAAATTAGTGCTCGGGGTACTAACCATGTCTTACACTGACCAAAGCACAGGATAGGAAATGAACGCATGTTCACAGCCAAGATTCAAGCCTCTCACATTTTAATGGGGCTGTGTACCTTTCACTGCAAGGCAATCGGGAGCCCTCAGCCACCTCTGAGACATGTCCAAGGTCAGAGCAGCTGCAGCAGTTTTAATGTGTGTGAGAGGGAGACAGGCTCAGCAGAGGCCAAGTACTGGCAGCACAGCCAGTCCTCCAGTTCCACGCTCCGCTCCGTGTCCACAGCCCTCTCCGCAAACTTCATCATCAGCAGGGCACGCTTCATGTCCACCCAGTTCTGAAGCACCTGGTGGAGGGCTTCCTCGTGGCTGAGGGGCTGTTCAGTCAGGTCCTTCCGTGGTCCCCACAGCAAGCACTGCAGCATCCGCTTGGCCTCGGTGATCCGCACGCGCTTGATGGGATCTGCCTCCAGAAGCAGGTGGGCCAGCTGCTGGAGCCCCCGGGAGTAAATGGACAGGCTGGGCAGAGAAGGGAGGTCCTCAGGGCTGTACTCTTGCTCCTTGAGGTGCACCTTCTCCTCAAAGGGGTTGGGCTGGTGCAGGAGCTCATAGATGAGAATTCCAGTCTGAAACTCATCAAACTTCTTGTACTGAGAAGCTGACACAATCTCCGGGGCCAGCCGGGCCTGGCTCTTCTTCAGTTTGGAGTCTCCAGATCCTGGCTTCTGTTTAGCTTTCAAAAAATTGCTGATGATGAGGCGGGGCAAATTTCTGTCATCTCTGGCCTTCGCACAGCTCATTGGGGGCTTGCAGGGGACAAGAAGAAGGTTCTCCAGACACAGGTCCCGATGGATGATGCCGTGCTCTTTTAGATGCTCCAGGCCATTGCAGAGCTGGAGGAGCAAGAAGCAAACCCGACGTTCGTACATCTCAGGTTTGGCCTGGTGCAGTGCCACCGAGTCCCTCACGAAGTCGGCGGTGGTCTGGCTTGGCACCTCGCGGGTGATGACCACCACACAATCATGCTCACTGGTGGTGCGGGAGGGACGGAGGCCATCCCCAGACATGCTCTTCCCCACACTGGAGGCCAGCAACATGCTGGAGGGGACAGAGGCCACAAAATGCCCACAGTCCTGCTGAATGTTGAAGTGGACCGGCACTGGGGGGCTGCAGTACGAAGCAGCCACCTTGGACTCTTGGGTTTTACATATCTGTGAGGAGAGACCAAAAGAGATGTCTTATCTGTCAGCACTTTCTTCCCACCGCACCCTTCTCTGGTTCTGCATCCTGGAGTTCCTTTCACATCCTCCTCAAACACTTCACTTCCTTGCTTCAGTAATTACCCTGACCAATGGCTGAAGAAAACCAGTAACAAACTATACTCATCAGCACAGGGGAAAAAAAAAAGCTCCAGAGGAAAGTGGGAGAAAGTAGGAGCAAACAACAGATTTAGAAATAACTGATAAAGCTCCAAACTCAAGGGGAAAAACAAACAAACAAACAAACAAACAAAAACCACAAAACATTTTCTAGTCTAGATTTCCTTAAACTAATGTGACTCTGTCTTCACTTCATTTTGTATTTGAGCATTAAAGACTAAGCAAACTCCAAACCAGTTTTATTATGGGAGTATCCATTAACTTATGGGGCCTTCTGGCATTTCTATTATACTTTTTTTTCCCCCTTTTATTTAGGGATATATTTATATCTTACCCACAGGAATCAACAACAGGCTGAAACACAGCATAAAAGGTTTCAAACCCTGGAGCGTGCCACTGCCAGTCACGGCATGCGTGCAAAATCAGACAAGAAATCAATTTTGCCTCTGAGTTAAAATAAATTCAATAATAGAGAGGAGCTAGGGAAGCAGGCTGCTTTTGTATTCTACTAGCAGCAGTTCGAATCCAGGCGTTTGCAGGTAATTCACTCAGATGAGATGATAGTGTGGAGATAGAGCATTTGAAGCTCCTATTGTCCTTTCTCTTCTAAACAAAAATACTCTGCTACATGCTTATTTTGTGGAAAGATAATCTCTGGAGAGCTGGACAGACTGCAGATTGGGTCACAGCAAGCCCAAATGTTTCCAATGGCAGAGGAAGCTTTCCATATCCTTGCTGCTCAAATTTGCTTGCTCCTCCTGCACATGGGTAAGACTCATAAGGCTTAGGACAAGGGAAAAAGGAATCCTCAGGAGAATAAATGCAACCAGATAGGGTCAGGGAGATCCTCCCCAGTCAGCTGATCTTCATGACTTTCACTTGCACCAGAGGCATCCTCCATGCAGCAAGACCAAGTAAGAGCCTGAGGCTGGATTAGTCATTCATCTTTAAGCAGAGAAAGAAGCCAAGGAGTAGAGTGTATCTTGACTTAATTCCTCTGAAGACATTTCATGTAACCTTGGGTCCTTCCAGCAAATTTAGATGTATCCATGCCTGCCTTTGCACAGACCAAACTCTGGCTCTGGCTGCACAAGTCAGGTCCTCTACCGGTCATGAGTTATCCAAATCTAATTTTAACTACAGGTCTGTGATTTCTTACATGTCCAAAAATCTGTACCACAAGCCAGGAGGAGCAGTTAGAAATCAGCCAACGGTAAAGCTTTACAAGTATTCTCTATTTCATCTACCAAAAAGAAGGTGGCCCACTGGAACACTGCAGATGTGCGAGTGCACACGCATAAGCACATATGTAACTTCACTTAATGCTGGCTCAGAGCACTGCCCTGTTGGACCGGTTTTGGCTTTATTACAGTGCTCTGCAGCATAGCAAGAGCACAGGGAGACAAGCACAGACCCATTAAGAGACTAAAATGTGGTGTTTCTGCCTTGGCAGTAATTCATCCACTACAGCAGTAGAGCTTAGCTTCTGAACCCCCCCAGGCACAGCAGGCAAGATGGAAGGTCTGCGTGTACCACAGGGGATCACGCATTGCAAAGGAACATGCCACTTCACCATGCAGTTCTCAGGTTTCTGCAGGAAATTTTCCATGGATTAGGAATAACATGGAAGAGAAGCTGCTGCTCTGAGCGTTGGACTAGCAGCAAGCCCCCATCCAACTCTACTCTGGTTATTTGGAGCCCTCCTGTTGGGTTGACCCTACTTTCTTTGAAAAAAGTCAACTGGCTTTAAAGCTATCACTTAGCTAAAACACCCCCTTGGGGGCTGTACTAGTGAAAACAGTTCAGAATAAATTTTTCTTCTTGCTTAATGCATCTCTAGCATTGCTTTTTTGGGGAATTATTTTAGGTCTTTAAAAGCAATACGAAGAGGAAGCAGCAATGAACTTCCCCTAGGCTGAAGTCCAAATAGAAATTAAAGGTTCAGTATTCCAGCAGTAACTTGGGTCAAGAACACTGAATCCATGAAATGTACATGAAGTTTATTGATCTAGGTTTCAGAGAGCTTGACCATGGCACCTCAAGTTTCCATTTCAAATGTAGATTCTACACAGTGACAGGAATGTATGTATTTCAGGCAAGCCTGACCTTACACAGCATGTCTAGGTCAGCCCTGCCTTGTTTAATTGAGACCCGAAAAACCTTAAAGCCTGTAGTTTCAAGATCATGCAAGCACTCACACAGTTTCTGGATCAAACCATTCACTTAAAAGACAGGCAGAGGGAAAATGGATGTATTTGATAGCTTTTAAGCAGCTTCTGTTGTCAAAGGTGAACAATGCTAACTTTACAGCATAGCATTTGCACAAAGTTTTTTTTAGAGAGAAACAGGTTGTGTTGTAAACCCCAACAGTCTGCAGAAATAGGCACCCAGCTGACATTTGTTACAACAAAAACCTACATCTCCAAATCAACTCTTTCAAGGTGTGAAGGAAGACTAGCAATCTTGGGAGGGGTTTTCATTTGCCAAACTTCAGCTGTGAGAATGATGAACCTGAAGAAAACAGGCCAGCAAATTCTGGTGATGCTTCTTAAATCTGTATTGCTAATTCTGCTCTTTCATTTGGTGCCCAATGGAAAGGAACCCAGAAATTCAGTCCCAGCTCTGCTATTGACCAGGTTGGATGGGGCCCTGGTCTAGTATTAAATGTGGAGGATGGCAGTGCTGCATACAGCGTGGGGGTTGGTGTTTGATGAGTCCTTGAGGTCCCTTCCAACCCAAGCCATTCTACGATTCTGTGGGATGCAGAGCCTGCAGCTCTTTGCCCAGGCTTACCTTTGTCACGGCCTTACCTTCACAGCATAGGTGGTGGAAGGGTCCTTGGAGCAGGTGGCACAGTAGTAGATTGCATCCCCTGAGTCACAGCAGGGCTTGTTGCACGTCAGCTTGAAAAGCGACCAGTTGTTCTCATTGAAGTGCAGCTCATTCTTTTGCTCCCGCATGAAGCAATCCTCACACTTTGCAACCAGGCGGCGCAAGGACTCAGCATAGAGGGCCCCCAGCTTGGCGTATACCCCCTCCTTGCTGTCAATATTGCTCAGGAGGTTGTGGAGCTGGAGGCTGGAGCCTGATGATACCTGGCTGGACATGCTGAGCTGCGAGGAAGAACGGGACTGGAGGTTTCTACTGGGGACGCAGGTCCCTGTGTTCTTGCTGGTGGCTGAGCCCCAGTAGCCATTTCCTTTGGAGCCTTTCTCCAGGGACTCTGAGGAGGAGAAGATGCTGGGGTGACCTCTGAGACTGGCCGGGTGGAGGAAAGGAGAGTCCTCATGGAGGCAGACGTTGCTCTCAGAATGGCTGACGTTCAGCCTGGGGCAAGCAGTACCAGCTGCTCTGCCTGAAGACCCCTGTCCCCCAAAAAAGCCATCTGGGGAGGACACTGTCCTGCTCACTGTCTTTTTCTGAGGCAGAGGAGGCGGGCGGCTTGAGACAGAAGAGAGACTGTCATCACCGGAGGCAGGAGGGAAGGGGACAGGGGGAAAGGCCAGGATTTCAGCTGGAGGGGGTGAGTGGTTTGGCTCAGACGAGTGTCCTAGGAGACAGCAAAGTACAGGGTTTCATCCACGGTGGAGAGCACGGACCCCTCTCCATGTACCTGCCATCCCTACAAGCTACCTCCACCAGTACCCAACAGGCAATTCTCATCACCTGCAAAGCTACACCATAGGGGTTGGGTCTTTAATCTGTTTTAATACAGCAGCTCTGAAAAGCAGGATGCAACCAGCTAGCTAAAGAAATGGTCTGCAGATCAGAAATTGCTTTCCTATGAACTGCATGCACGATAGCAAAAAGCTGGTAGAGGATAAATATTTAAGCTGTGACATCATACAGAAGGAGGTAAGAATGAAGATCTCAGGGATTCTTGTTGGACAGCAATCTCTCAAGCAAAGCCTGTTTCACCTGGGAGCTGCCACCCAGTGCCTCAGCAGCATGGCATGATAAGAGTGACTCATACAACACACAGCTCTGGTTTAAACATGAGCAGAGCAGCCCAACAAGGATATTGAACACGTCTCCCTGCCTTACACTGGGTAAGGGTCATTGTATGGGGTTTGGCAAGCTCCACTCTTCTGAAGAAATCTGGCCTCCCCACTGTCTGTCCCCAGCTTACATCAGACCTCCCTGCTCAGAGGGCAACCAGCCCCACTGCATACCACAAAACCCTTTCAGCTCCCTACAGCATTTACACAAGTACAGGAACGCTCATTCAGGCAGCTGTAGCTGTTGCCTTTCTACCTGGCTGGAGACAAGTAATATGGATGCAGAAGAGGAAAAAAGTGGAAAAAGGATGATTGACACTGAAATAAAGACCAAGACTTTCAGGTCAGGGAGACAGAAAAAAATACAGAGTCCCTGCCTGGTCTGCAGGAAAGATCCCCTCTATCAAAAAACTGGCAGAACTGCAGATGAGGCATTCAGCAGAGCATGTCTTGCCACTTCCACTCCAAGGGGCTTTAACAGAAGATGCAGCTAAGAGGAATTCTTCAGCATGCAGTCCAAGAGTAACACAATCACCAGGATATGCAGTCAGATTCCCACTTCAAGAGGTAGGATTCATTTGATAGATAGAAACTTACGGAACAAGCAGCATTACTGGAACCTCTGGCAACCAGTTCACATGCACACCCACAAACGCCAAATTGCTCTCGCCTCTTTTTTATGTGCTGCTGGGCTCTGCCCTAAGCATAGGTTAACAACTGAAAGCCTTCCATAACTTTCCGTACTGCGCTCTGCACCTTCAGGGTAGAGTCCTTCCTTCTGCAGCAAAGGGCTTGAACACCGCCCCATATTTTAACATCTGACAGCATAGCCAATTAATGCGGGCTCACCTCACACAATGGCTGACTGCATAACAACTGCTTGCTTACATCAGCAAGAGGAAAAAATTACATACAGGTTACTCAGTTTAAAGCACAGCCTTCCTGAGTTGAGTTTAAAGTCGCCTCTGCTAGTGGAGGCAGAGAAATCCTCTTCTCTTGTATAAGTTTTGACTGCAAATTGCTCCTGTGCCCTGCAAGTAAAGATCTGACGCATGTGAGTTCTCCTTCCCCATGTGCAATTTCCTGGCAGTCTCACTCTGAGAGTCCAAGATAGAAGTGGAAAAATCGACTTTCCAGAGCTCTGACTCTTAATTTTATAGCCGCACGCTGTTGCTCTTGGAAAGACAGAACTTCCACTACATGAAGGTTGCTTTTGCAAAAAGGAAATACTTTCTGAGCTGCCAAACATGTTAGCACATGTCTAAGTTACACACTTATGAAGAAAGTGACTTCATATTAGTATTTTTTAATTTCAGTTAAACAAGTGCAGGCAGATTTTCCCCCTTCAAGAAACAACTGGGAACACAATGAGAGGGAGAGATCAACTACTAGCACAAGAGTCTGGTATTTTTCAAATCCTTTAAGGACTGTCCATGAATGCAACTTTGGGCAACATATGGAGCACAACCAAGACAAACAGAACTGCTTTCAGACAGGGGCTTCATCCAGACAAGAGGAGAATCACAGGACAAACAGATTTGGCTCTGACCAAATGAATGAGGAAAAAGCCATGATGTTGATCTGGCTCTGCCACATTCATCTTAAGTGTATCAAGAAGCAGGAGGGTGAAATAATGACTTCTAGTTTTGTCAGGGGAGTTTCAGATTGGATATTAGGAAAAATTTATTCTCAGAAAGAGTAGTGAGGCACTCGCACAGGCTGCCCAGGGTGATGGTGAAGTCACCACCCCTGGAGGTGTTCAAGAAATGTGGAGATGAGGCATTGAGGGACATGGTTAGTGGGCATAGTGGGGATGGGGTGATGGTTGGACTTAGTGGTCTCTTCCAAACTTAATGATTCTATGATTCGATACAGTGGTTTGCTGGGAGAATTAGGTTATGGGATCCCTGTGACCGCTGCTTTGCAAATGCTGCTCCAGCAGTGGTACTCAGTATAGGGCAATCCCTCCTCAGTGCTAATGCTACTTCTCCTCTACCCTGCAGCCACTTACTGCCATCGCTGCCGGCCTGAGTGTCAGAGTTGAGGCTGTCGGAGGAGCCAGCTGTGAAGCTGACGTGGACGCTCCTGAAAGGTGGGCTCAGGCTCTCAGCAGAGCTGTTGCTGGCCCTCTCCAACTCAGCGTTATTTGGGTTCATCTTCAGAGCATGCCTAGGGAGAGTAAACAGAGAGGTCAGGAGACAGCAAAAGACATGATGCATACACTTTTGCATGGAGAATCAAGCTGAGAGCAGCCTCAGCTTGATCTCTGCACATCCATACTGACACGCTATTACCTTGTGCACTTTTCCTCTTCTTGCTCTAGAACTTGGGGATCGTATCCCACTGACACTGAGCAAGCTATAGCCCTGCAAAGCACCAGTCCCCATGAGAAACCCGCTGCATTTGAGCAGAGAGAGACCCATTGGGGTGACAGCACCCAACCCTGGTCTGCATCTTCTTTTTCCTAGTGTGGTCCTGAATCATATCCCATTTTGGCCATTGCCACTGGGAAGTGGGGACCCACCATTATTTGCCCTTGGTAAAACTCAGTGGAAAGGCAAAGCATCACTTCTCCCATTTTACAGAAGGACTGGGCATCAGAATCCAGCTCCTACTTGGCAGAGGCAAGAGGATAAGGAAGTTCCATCACTGGCAATCATCATCTCCTTGGTGCATCGTTGTAACGATTGACATCTTCCAAAAAAAGAATGACCTCTGCAGAAAACAAGAGCATGCCAAACCCAGGACCTACCATGCAATTTTTAATGTAAGGCCCACTTCCATCTAAAGGTCATACAACTTCCATCTAAAAGAAATAAATACATAAACCATAAGCTGTCCTTATGTCCTGCCAGAGTCACAGTTCAAACGATCAATTGTAGGCAAGCAGGATACAGAACGTGATAAAGAGTTTCCCCTGCATTTTCTTCATTTTTTCTTCTCTGGAAAACAACAGGAGGTGTTGAAATCAAACACCCCATCTTTGGTACAGTTCAGACTCTACGGCCAGTAAACAAAGGC